TTGAAAGATTCTCTGGGCAAATTACTGAACACTGCCTTTAGAAGTGTATAACTCTAGATGGAGGATACATTGAGAAGCAATAGCTTTACATTTTGATATTTTAAATACAAATTTATTTTGTAGCAATACTGTTGTACTCAGCCCATATTGTTTATTTCATATATATGAGGTAATACAGTATATCTTAGGTTGGGTTCTCTAGAGAAGCAAAGCCTTTGATATATATATATATGAGTGCAGTAGCTCCATATTATAAGCACTGGACTGTGAGCCACAAGGTTAGTGGGAGGTGGGAGAGTTGCAAGTCATAACAGCTGAACCAAGATCAGCAGACAGGTAGACAGGTCTGACAGGTAAAAAGACAGGCTTCTGATGGCGCCCAGGATTAACAGGTAATAGAACAAGCCATGAGTTCAAGCCCAAAGAACTGGAGGTTGCAAGATTCAGACCCAGCAGAAAGCAAACAAATGCTCCTGATTGCCTAGTATATTGGAAATAGGCCACATGCCCAAGAAAACATTCTTTAAATTGATTGGTTGCTCATTGCAAAGCTCATCATAGAGTTAAGGACATCTTATTAGATCTCATTTTGGTGGTAAGTACATCCTGGTGTGGTGCTGTGAGTTAATAATGTGCCAGAATGCAAAGCCATTTGAACTGCAAGGCCAGTGGTTCAAAGTCACCAGCTGCTCTTCAGAAACCATATACAGGGTAGCTATGGGTCGGAATCGTCTCGATGGCACTTAACAACAACAACATCTAAACTGCCAAACCTGAGAATCCTGAGATTCTGAGAATCCTGGCCCAGTCAAGTTGACATAAAATGTTAACTATCACACTGTGCTCGCCCTTTTGTGACTAATTTATTTAGTTCAGCATGTTTTCAAGGTTCATCCATGTTGAAGTGTGTATCAGGACTTAATTTCTCTTGGGACTGAGTAATAATCCTTGGTATGTATGTACCACATTCCATTTATCCATCCATCTGCTAATGGACATTTAGGTTGTTTCCACCTTTTGTCTATTGTAAAAAGTGTTGTAATGAACAGGGCTGTAGAGGTATTAATGTTTCTGCTTTCATTTCTCTGTCTTCGTTTACATTTGGTTAAAGTGGACTATGATATAGCAAAAACTGTCCTTGATTCTATGTGATTACATGTTATAGATTCTTGTGAATATTTTTCTTCTTTATTTTAGGAAAATTAATTGTGATCACAGCTTAATACGTCAGTCAAGGAGCAGCCGAAAGGCAGTACTGTGTGTGGTCATGGAAAGTATCCGAACCACACGGCAGTGCTCACTATCTGTGCATGCTGGAATTCGTGGGGAATCAATGCGGGTAAAACACATTCATTAGGCTTCCCTTGCTAACTAAAAGAGAATTGTAAAAGCTACTCAATTTCTAATGGCACTTGTGACTACATATATTTTGACAAACGTTGAGGTTAAAGATCTGCAATAGTATAGGATTTCACACAAGAATAGTTTTGTATCCGAATATGAAAAGAGTCTAAAAAGCTTGGATGTTGAATATGTGTATATAGCACAATGAAAATATGACTCCTTGTAAGATAAAATGATGTGTACTGGAGATCCTCTTTTGAAACCTTAACTTGAATTATTTTATTTTTAAGTGATAGAGTTTAAACTTTAAAATATTTTAAGTTCAATTTACATTTTGACTTTAAAATAATTATTCTAAAATAATATTATCAATGACCAATGTTAAAATATTTTTTTAAAAATCTTAGAACATTATTTGTGTTAACATTTAGTTCAATTTTTATATTGTTTCCCGCATCCAGTCACAGACACCTAATAGCAACTTGATTGGTTTTATTTACTTTGGGAGGTAGATATGGGTGGGTGGGAGTAAGGTATGAAGGTTAGGGTTGGGATTACTGCTCGGTCTAGGTTAGGCCTAGAAATTCGTTTATTGTTAGGGTTATGGTTAGGACTAAAGTTAGTGTTGAGGGGAAAGGTTACAGCTAAGTTTTCTTTATCTTTTTCTTGAAATCTATTTGATTTCTCCTTAATTTGGAAGTTCTGTAACTACAGTATTCCCTCATTTTACTTTATGGAATTTTTGTTGTTGCGACTGTATCTCTGGTTCTCTATTTTTAGTCTTATAGGTCTGTTTTACTTTGTGTACTTCTGTCTCTGGGTTGAGACTGATATTGTCATGTATGTTCGTCTTGGGTTATTTTCTGTTTGCTGTTGGTTCTCTGTCCAAAGAACTTCTTTTAGTATTTTTATAAGGTTGGTGTAGTTTTAAAAAACTCATTAATTTCTATTTGTCTGAAAATGTACTAATTTTACCATCATTTTGATGGACAGTATTGGTTGGCAAGTTTTTTCTTTCAGAGTTTTACATATGTCATTCCCATTATTTTCTTGCCTTCATTGTTTCTTCTGAAAAATTGGAATTTAGTCATATTTGTTCTCCTTTGTAGGTAACGTTTTGTTTTTCTTGAGCTGCTCTCAGGATTCTTTCCTTGTCTTTGGTTTTGAGAAGTTTGATTATTATATGCCTTAGTGTTTTTTCGTTTGGAGTGTGTCCTGTTTGGAGTTTGTTCAATTTTCTTGAATGGCTCCCTTCTCATCTCTCATAATATTAGGGAATTTTCTTCCAACAAGTGTTGGATACTATTCTCTATGGGTTTTTGTGTTATTTGATTTCATTTGTCTCTTCTTAGTCTGAAATAAGTTATTATTGATTTGTTGTTGTTGTTAGGTGCCATCGAGTCAATACCGAGTCATAGCGACCTTATGCACAGCAGAATGAAACACTGCCCGATCCTGGGCCAACCTCACTACTGTTGCCATGCTTGAGTCCATTGATCCTGCCACTTAGCCAATCCATCTCATTGGGGGTCTTCCTCTTTTGCTCTGACCCTCCACCTTACCAAACATGATATCCTTCACCAGTGACAGGTTCCTCCTGACAATATGTCCAAAGTATGAGAGACGAAGTTTAGCCATCTTGGCCTCTGAAGAGCACTCTGGCTGCACTTCTTTCCAAACTCATCTGTGGGTTCATTCGGCAGCCCATGGCACTTTCAGTCTTCTTCTCCAACACCATAACTCAAAGGCATCCATTCTTCTATGGTCTTCCTTATTCACTGTACAGCTTTCACATGTATATGAGGTTATTGAAAATACCATGGCTTGGGTCAGGCGCACCTTAGTTCTCAAGCTGACATCATTGCTCTTCAACACTTTCAAAACGTCTTGTGCAGCAGATTTGCCTAAAGCAATACGTTTGATTTCTTGACTGCTGCATCCGTGAGTGTTGATAGTTGATCCAAGAAGAATGAAGTCCTTAACAACTTCAATCTTTTCTCCATTGATAAGAATGCTGTTTATTGGTCCAGTGGTGAGGATTTTTGTTTTCTTGAGATGTAATCCATACTGAAGGCTGTGCTCTTTGATCTCCATCAGTAAATGTTTTAAGTCCTCTTCACTTTCAGCAAGCAAGGTTGTATCATCTGCATATTGCAGGTTGTTATTAATAGTGTCTGATATAAATCTTAGGTTTTCTTTTTTTTTTCCTCTAGCAGGATGAATATTGAGAGATTTTTCTTTAAACTCGGTAATTGTTACTCAGCTTTCCACTGATAGAATTCTATTTCTTTGCCCTTTCAGTGTATGATCTATTTTGAAGACTTTGTGCTAATCTGGCTCTCTAATTGTTGGTTTTGTATGATTCCCATTATTTCAATTGTTTTGTCAGTTTGTCTCCTGGATTTTCCCGAATTTTAGTTTATATTTTCCTTGATTTCATCTGTAGTTTTTTTCATTCCTTCCAACAATCTATTGAAGTTGCCTAATGGGTATTCTTTTAAATTCCTCTATCAGGTAGTTCTGATGCCATTTCCGGTGTTATATTTTCTTACTCTGTATATTGGTCACTTGTTTGACGCACTCTGCCTAGTTTCATTGTGTAAGTTAAAATTGTCTGTTTTCTCTGAGACATTGTGGAATTGTATTTATATTTTATTTATATTTGCGCGTTGCCCTTGTTGATTGTATATTTGTGTGTTCTCAGGAACTCACCACCTGTCTCCTGATGGTAAAGACCAGAGGCGTGAAAGCAGTTAGTTCTCTGTTCATTGTTTGCAAAGTGGAATTCAGGGTGGTTTCAGTTGCTTCCAAAAGCAGGTGTTTATGCCAGGTGCCTGACCCTAGATGGAGCATAGGCTATGCAGGAAGAGGTGATACTGGCCACAGAGTTGGTGAGGGCAGGGACTACCAGGAGGGCACAGGAATTAGGGAATATTGAACTCCCTTGACACCAGCCTCCAGCAGCTTCCTGTGCCTGCACGCTGCTGTATCAATTGTTGTTGTTGTTAAGTGCCATCGAGTCAGTTCCGACCCATAGCGACCCTGTATCAATAGGTACTCGCAAAAGCTCAAGAAGGCTATGCCACTACACCATCCCACATTCTGCCTGAATCCTTCTCTCTTGCTGTTTCTGTTCAGCTTCCTCTTCCAGTTGGTACTCAGTTCAACTCTTTGTCCTATCCTCTGATGCTCAAGATTCCAGAATTACCATCTGTATCTGTTTCACTGTCTCTCATGTCTTTGTTGTGGAGAGTCAGCTCAGTAAGTCTGCTTATTCAATCATCTTGCCCACCCTGCCTCCCCCTTGATTGACTTTATTGAAGTCAGTCTATAGAAAGATAGCATTCAATGATCATGTTTGTTTCAAGTCAGTAGCTAAATTCAGATGCCAGATCCTGATTAAAATAGGATTATTTAGGGGATACAAACTGAAATTTACTTGAAAATAAGTCAGTGATTGCTTAGGAAAGCTGCTGAAATAGCTTAAGATATAGTCTTCCTCGGAACAATAGACAGGGTAGGCTAAAAAGCTTCAACTGTAGTTCTTAATGCATTTGCCTTATAAGATTTGCAGCTGGAAGAAAAAGATATTTTAATCCAGAGAGCATTCCAACAGGCTCCACTAAAGTAAATGAGAAAGCTGTGAAGTATATTTTTAATATATGTGGTTATGAATTGAGTTGCAAACCTCAAGTTCAGCAGTTCGAAACTACCAGCTGTTCTGTGGAAGAAAGATGAGGCTCTCTGTTCCCATAAAGATTTACAGCCTTGGAAACCCTGTACAGGATCACTATGAGTCGGAACCGACTCCATGGCACATAACAACACCAACAACTAGTCTCAAATGAACCTCTGTTAGAAACAGTTTAATTAAAGTAGGATAATTCTTTACTTTGAGAGATTTTTAGGTTTTTGGTAGAATTGTAGGAGATATTTTATTTTCCAAAAAAATATGCTTATATGTTATGTCCCTTAATACTTTTTTATTCATTTATCATAGTTTCATTTTATGGATGAACAGAATCCCAGAGGAAGAGACAAAGCTATTGTTTTTCCAGCACACACAACCATAGCTTTCAGTGTTTTTGAACTCTTCATTTACCTGGATGGTGTCTTTGGTGAGTGAATGATTTGCATGAAACTTTGAAATGATTATATTTCTATGAATTCAGCTGGATGCTTTCTCTTTATCTTACTCTTTTTCTGTCTCTATTTCTGAATGTCGGTAATTATGAAATGTCAGTTTTATGCATTGGTCAAGTATCAGGGTAAGGCTTTTGTTTCCCTAATTTCTCATTCTTTCTTTTCTGTAGACTCAACCCTGCCACCACCACCATCTAAAATGCAGTCCACTGACATTCCTTGACTTACTAAGGGATATAATAAATGGCATTCTAATCAGGCAGTTTTTTTTTGTTGTTGTTTGTTTTTAAAATTGTGAACTGAGTGATAGTTTACATGGGAGAACATACACTTTACAGCATCGTTTCATTGCAATAATTACAATCTCCTCCATGTATCATCATTCAACACTGTTTGCTTCCATTCCCTCTGTTTTTTGTTTTTTGTGTGAGGGGGTGGGGGGTGGGGTGTCTAACAGGTAGTTTTTGATGGTGGCAAATAGAGAAGGAGGTAAGCAGTAAAATGCCTGAAAGTGTCAAGTACCTCATTAGGACACCTTAGTGTAAGAACTTTTCTTACTTCAGTTGTACCTATCATTACCCGAACTTCTTTCGTGTCCCCGCCACATAACTGTTAAATATAAATGTTTCATAAAACTTGGTACCTTGTGTTATACCTCAGTAAAACTCCCTTTAGATTAGTACATTTTACAGGTTTCACTAATTACTTATCACAACATAAAAGAATCCTATTTTGGTTGGACAATTATTGACTCTCTCCTATAGGCAAGAGCACTGGTAGCGTAGTGGTTACAAATCGGGCTGTGAACTGCAACGTCAGCAGTTCGAAGCTACCAGCCGTTCCGCGAGAGAAAGATGAGGCTTTCTGCTCCCTTAAAGATTTTACAGCCTTGGAAACCCTATACAGGGTCACTATGAGTCAGAAACGATTCCACGGCACTTAACAACAACAACAACATAGGCAATAGATGGCACAAATAGGTGGTGCAAGCTTTTATATGCTTGATACTAACTAAAAGATTGGGGGTTTGAGTCTACCCTGCAGTACCTGAAAGAAACACCTAGAGATGTTTTTCAAAAACATCAGCCATTGAAAACTAAGGAGCACAGTTATTCTCTGACACACATGGGTCGCCATGAGTCAGGATCAACAAAAATCAGCAACTGGATTTTTGATTTGGCTGTAAACAATATGCTAGCCTTAGAAATATTACCTTAAAGTAGCAGTGGGTTAAGCATTGGACTTCTAGTCAAAAAGTCAGTAGTTCAAACCCACCAGTTTGTGGGGAAAAGGCTATAAAGATTAACAGCCTTGGAAACCTTAAGGAGCAGTTCAGCTCTGTCCTATGGGGTCCTGTCTGACAGGCTCAATAGCAGTGGGTTACTTGCATGATACCTCCACAATAGTGGCTTCCTCCCTTAGTCACTCACACACTCCTGACAATGTACTCTTAGTCAGAACTCAAGAATGAAATGGAAGGAATAATTAAGAACATTTTTCACTCAGTTATCACAGGGTTCACTAGTTGCCAGGAAGGTGGGAATTGATGAGTCTTGGGGCCCAAGGACATATTATTGTCTTAGACTTGGCATTTAAACAAACAAAAACATCTCAGAGAGTCTTTCCTAACAGGGAACTGAGAGAAGGGGAAAATGAGTTTTGAACTTGTCAAGCTTGACTGAAAATGTGATTGAACAGAGTAAGAAGTATACATTGAGGCATTGCTGGAAGTAGTCAGATTCCTAATCACTCAGCTCAGAATGTTTATATTACCACATTACACTGCTATGGAATACTTAATATAGCCATTCTAGTCATTGTCTTTGTAACTCCACTAAATGAGAGGGTTGCTGTTGTTGTTGTTAGGTGCCATCCAGTCATTTCTGACTCATAGCAACACTATGCACAACAGAATGAAACACGCCCTATCCTGTACCATCCTCACAATTGTTATGTTTGAGTCCATTGTTGCTGCCACTATGCCTGTCCATCTCGTTGGAGGGCTTCCTGTTTTTCGCTGATCTTCTACTTTACCAAGCATGATGTCCTTCTCCAAGGACTGGTTCATTCTGACAACATGTCCAAAGTATATGAAGCAAAAGACACAGAGTCTTGCCATACTGGTTTCTAAGGAGCATTATGGCTGTACTTCTTCCAACACAGAATTATTTATTCTTCTGGCAGTCAGTGGTTTGTTGTTGTTGTTTGTAAGCACTATGGAGTCAGTTTTGACTCATAGTGAACCTGCACAGGGTTTCCAAGGCTGCAAATCTTCATGGGAGCAGAAAGCCTCATCTTTCTCCCGCGAAACAGCTGGTAGTTTCGAACAGCCGATCTTGAGGTTAGCAGCCTGATTCGTAACCACTACGCTCCTTGCAGTCAGTGGTATTTTCAATATTCTTTATTAACAGTGTAGTTCAAATGCATCGATTCTTCTTTGGTCTTCTTTATTCATTATCCAACTTTCACATACATATAAGACAATTGAAAATACTATAGCTTGGGCTAGTGCACCTTAGTCCGTGAAGTGACCTCTTTGCTCTTAAACACTTCAAAGCAGTAGTTTGCAGCAGAGTTGCCTAATGCAATACATCATTTGAGTTCTTGACTGCTGCTTTCATGAGTGTTGATTGTGGATTCAAGCAAAATAAAGTCTGTTGTTATTTACTGGTCCAGTTGTAAGGATTTTTGTTTTTTTTTCTTACACTGAGATGCAATCCATACTGTAGTCTTTGACCTTCATTAGTATTTTCAAGTTCTCTTCACGTCTAGAAAGCAAGGTTGCATCATCTGATAGGTTGCTAATGAGCCTTCCTCCAAACCTGATGCCATGTTCTTCTTCATATAATTAAGCTTCTCAGATTGTTTGCTCAGCATACAAATTGAATAAGTATGATGAAAGGATACAACCCTGGTACATACCTTTCCTGATTTTAAACCATTCAGTATGCCCTTGTTCTCTTCGAATGACTGACTTTTGATCAATGTACAGGTTCCTCAAGAGTACCATTAAGTGGTCTGGAATACGAATTCCTTGTGTCAAATAAGTAATGTCTTTTCATAGTCAATAAAGCACATGTAAACATTTTTCTGGTATTCTCTGCTTTCAGCTAAGATCCATCTGATGTCAGCAATATCCTTAATGCCACATCTTCTTCTGAATCTGACTTGAATTTATGGAAGCTCCCTGTCAATGTACTGTTTTTAAATGATATTCAATAAAATTTTATTTGCTTGTGATATTAATACTGTTAGATGATTCCTGTATTCTGCTGGATCATGAACCTTTGGAATGGGTACAGATATGGATCTGTTCCAATTAGTTGGCCAGGTCACTGTCTTCCAAATTTCTTGGCATAGATGTCTTCCAAATTTCTTATCCTCCAGCACTACATTAGTTTGTTGAAACATTTCAATTTGTGTTCCATCAATTCATGGAGCCTTGTTTGAGCATCTGTGCCTTCAGTGCAGCTTGGACATCTTCCTTCAGTACCATCAGTTCTTATGATACCTGATGATATGATACCTCTTGAAGTGGTTGAATACCAATAATTTCTTTTTAGTACAGTAATTCTGTGTATTCATTCCATCTTCTTTGATGCTTCCTGTATCATTTAATATTTTTCCAATAGAATTCTTCAGTATTGCAACTTGAGGCTTGAATCCTTTCTTCAATCCTTTAAGCTTGAGAAATGATGAGCATGTTCTTCTCTTTTGGTTTTCTAACTCCAGGTCTTTGTACACTTCACTGTCATGCTTGACTGTGTCTTCTCTAGCTCTCCTTTGAAATTTTCTTCAGCTCTTTTATGTCAAAATTTCTTCCAATTGTTTTAGATTCTCTTCATTCAAGTGCAAGTTTCAGAATCTCTTCTGCCATCCACTTTTGACTTTCTTTCCTATCTTTTTAATGACCTTTTGCTTTCTTCACATAAGATATTCTTGATACCATCTCACAACTCTTCTGATATTCATTCATTAATCAAATCAGTTCTTAAGATGGTGTTTGAATTCAGGTGGGATATAATCAAGGTTAGAGTCCTGGTATGGCACTGTAGGTTAATAGACTGGACTGCAAGGTTGGTTTGAACTACAAGGTCGGCAGTTCAGGCTCACCACAGCTCCTTGGAAACCCTATACGGGGTCAATATGAGTTGGAATTGCCTTGATGGCACTTAACAACAACAACAACAACATATTTAAGGTCATATTTTGGCTTTCATGGACTTCTTTTAATTTTCTTCAATTTCAGCCTAAATTTACATATAAGCAATTGATGATCTCTTCCCAGCCCTTGGCCTTGATTTCGCTGATATTGATTTTCTCAATGCCTCTTCCCACAAATGTAGTCAGTTTGATTCCTGTGTATTACATCTGGTGGGACCCAAGTGTATAATTCCCATTTATGTTGTTTAAAAAGGTATTTACAATGAATAAGTTGTTGTTTGTTGTTAAGTGCCATCCAATCGATTCCAACCCATAGCAACCCGGCATAGGGTTTCCATGACTGGTGAGTTTGAACTGCCAACCTTGCGATTCAAATGACTTTGCAGTCCAGTGCATTAACCCACAGAGCCACACCAGGACTCATTGGTCTTGCAAAATTCTATCATGTAATCTTCAACATCATTTCTATCACCCAAAATTTCCAACTACCAATCTTCTTTGTTTTCAATTTCCCCTTTCCAATCACCAGTAATTATCAATACATTTTGATTGCACGTTTGATCAATTTCAGATAGAAGTTGATAGACTTCTTCAATTTCACCTTCACTGGCTTTAGTCGGTGTGTGTTGCAGACCGTGCAGACCCGGTCAGGAGTTCGAGGCCCTGTGGGCCCGAGTGTTGCAGACCATACAGGCCGCAGGCTCTGAGGAACAGACTCTAGCCACCTAGCAGACAT